AGATTATGGATGTTGCAGACTAATTATCTACCATAACAAACTCCCTAGGTCAGTAGTGGAATGAGAAGTGGGACGGTAAACAGTTTACGGGGGCCCCTGGGTGGCTCTGTCAGTTAAGCGTCTGCCTTCAGCTCAGGTCATGATCTCAGGGTACTAGAATGGAGCCTTGTGTCCAGCTCCCTGCTAGGTGGGGAGTCTGCTTCTCCCTCTCCTTTCCCGCCCACTCCCCACCTCCCGCCCCATTCATGCATGCATGCTCTTTCTCTCAAATAAATAAATAAAAATCTTTAAAAAAATGAATAAACAGCTTCTGGGTTATTATTTTGAGGATCATAGTTTGAACTTTTTCTAGATGTTTGTTTCTATTTCATAGCAACTTGTAATTTTAAAGATATATCCAGTCAAATCTAAGGGTATTATTTATACTTATTTTAAAGTAGTTTTCTGTGTAATCTTTAATTTTCTTAGTTTTTTTTTCTTCAGATGTTTAATTTGGGGATTCTTTATACAGTTGGTATCCTTAAATCATGAGATTTTGGTGGACACAGTGCCTTGCATCTAGACTTCATAAGCGGAGCCTGAACAATACCATATTTTTTCTATGTAAGGACAGGAGACATGTTCCTTTTTAATATTTTAATGTACTCAGCCCCCAAACCCCTAAGAAAAGTGTGCTTACATTGAAACACACATTTTGGATGAAAAAATAAGCCAATGCTTTAAAAACTGACCTGGAAATAGAGATTATTTGGTTAAACTTGTAGATTACATAGTCTTTTATGATATTGTTAACACTTTAAAAATATTTCAATTATATTCATTAGTGAATAGGTACATGGTTGTACCTTAATAATGATGATTAGTTGAGATTTGTCATGTTGAAGGGAGCAAGCCTGTGGCATTTTGCAGACTTTTCCTTGGCCCAGTACCATTCAACAATTAGTAACTTGGATGAAATTACAAAAGGAAACTTTGTCAAGTTTGTGGATGACAAGCTGGGAGATTCCAGATTTAGGAATCAAAACCATACTGAGTGCACTGCTGGAACTAGAATGAATTTAGAAAAATTAAGATGGATAAAGGCATAGTGTTATATGTGGACTAAAAACCCAACCCAACTTTGAGTATAAAAAAGGAGAGATGAGGCAAAACAGCATAGTTACAAAAGACAGAGGATTTTTAGTTCATTTTAGTTAAATATCAACTAAGCAATGTCATGTGACTGTTAAAAAATAGGCTTTTAATATATTACTTTCAAGAGAAGAGATATCCAACTGTGCTGACAAGACCTAAATGGATTAGAAGTATCACATGCAGTTATGGGTACCATACTTTGAAAGAAATACAGAATATACCTCTTAAATAGCAACTGAAGGAAGAAGGGATTATTTCAAAGTAAAAAAAAAAAAAAGTCCTCAGGAATAGAAGAGTTACCTGGAAATATTATAAAGGGTTGTCATGTCAGGGAGGGAATGGATGTACTCTATATAGACTATCCCAATGTTTGGAACCAGGACCGATAGACACATACACTAGGGAAATAGATTTTTAAATCAATGTAGGAAAGAACTGACAGAACTGTCTAGACATGAAGAACATGACCTGAATAGGTAATAGGCTCCTGCAACATCAATAGAAGTTTTTGATCATGAGATACTTGTCTATCTAATGTTTTTATTTGAGGAATTTGAGGCATAACCATGTGTAATTAATCCTTTCAACCTAGAGATTCATTAATTCTATGACATCAAATTTTAAAAGCGGGGCGCCTGGGTGGCTCAGTCTGTTGAGTGTCTGCCTTTGGCTCAGGTTATGATCCCAGGGTCCTGGGATAGAGTCCCACACCAGGCTCCCTGCTCAGTGGAGAGTCTGCTTCTCCCTCTGTCCCTCTCCCCTGCTCATACATGCACATTCTCTCCCTCTCTCTCACAAAAATAAAATCTTAAAAAAAAAGTTAAAAGATTAGGGACACCTGGGTGGCTCAGTCAGTTAAGCATTCAGCTCTTGATTTTGGATCAGTTATGATCTCAGAGTCCTGGAATCGAGCCCTGCATCAGGCTCTGAGCTGGTCAGGCAGTCTGCTTGAGGATTTTCTTCCTCTGCTCCTCCCCCTGCTTGTGCTTTTTCTCTCTCTCTCTAAATATTTACTAATTTATTTTAGAGAGAGAGAGCAGGGGGGTGGCAGAGGGAGAGGGAGAGAATCCTCAAGCAGACTCCTTGCCAGGCTTGGAGCCTGATGCAGGGCTTGATTCCAGGACTCTGAGATCATGACCTGAGCTGAAATCAAGTTGGATGCTTAACTGACTGAGCCACCTGGGCGTCCCTTTAAAAATTTTTAAATAAGAATGAAATTGGCAACAAGAGTAAAGGCAGCATAATTTTCCAGGAAAAGGAGAAGGTACAGACAAGTCAAGCAAAGGAATTTTGTTTTTAAAAGAAATCTGGGTGTTTGACATTGAAGAAAAAAAAAAAAAGGGTCCAGGGGAGAAGGGGTGGAAAAGCAGGGATTGGGAACTGGGCTCTGAGAGATGGGAGTTGAAATTGTAGAGAAGAAATACATTTCTGAAGCCAATGACATGTTTGTGAGGATGGCTTAACATGAAAGATTACTGATTCTTCTGTTCTCCCAATTGATAATTTTTCTTTGTAAATTAGGAAATTGAGTATTTGGGGTGGGGAGGGTGAGCAGAGAATTAATGACAGAGGAAGAAGATAAAAACCAGCTCCCACTGCTGGATACTGCCACTGCCACACCCCAGTCTTTCATAGTGATGCCAATTTCTTTAGTATAACTTTCAGCAAATTTATTCTTGCTTCTTGTCTTGTCCCACATCAGCTCTGCTCTTCTGCTGTCATAATTTGAGTGTTTGTCCCGTTCTTAAGTACTTCTTTAAAAAGCTGAGTGGTAGATTCAATCTACTGATCTGATTATCATGTTTAAATGATCTTTCCAAAATGTAAAACATGTCTATAATTGTTTTGGGAATTCAAGTGGATGCAAAAAAAAAAAAGTTCAATTTACTAATCAAACCTCAGTTCTGAGACTATACATCATGAAGACAAACGTGGCAAACGGACATAAGGAAAACAGGTTTGTGAACCTAAAGGGAAATTATTTTATGCATAATTCTATTACATTTCTTAAAACAAAGAGTCTCATTGTTTGCGTGTAACACCCAGCGCTCCATGCAGTATGTGCCCTCCTTAATACCCATCGCTGGGTCAACCTATCCCCCCAACCCCCACTCCCCTCTGAAACCCTCAGTTTGTTTCCCCAGAGTCCATAGTCTCTCATGGTTCATTTTCCCCTCTAGTTTCCTCCCCTTCATCATGGAACACTATTTCAAAAACTAATGAAGTACTGTATGGTGACTAACGTAACAAGGTGACAATACCAAAAAAAAAAAAAAAAATCCAAAAAAAAAAAAAAAAAATTCACAGTAAAAAAAGCAAGCAAACAAACAAACAAAAAAAAAACCAGAGTCTCAAGCTTTAGCACACATAATGGCCTGGATGGTTTGTTAAAACAGATTTCTAAACTTTCCTACCTGGGATTGATTCAGGTTTGAGATAGGGGCCATGAGGCTGCATTTCTCACAAGCTCCAGGTGATGCTAATGCAGCTGCTCTGTGGACTACACTTATGGGTAAAACTCTTTTAAAATACACTGCAAAGAATGCCATTTTCAGATTATCTAGTACTATCTAGTTAAAAAAAATGGATAATTATAGATTATTAGGTCCCTTCCTTGAGTGACAATCTTAATGTCATCCTTCCATTACTTCTATGTTTGCTATCACACTCATATACTACCTATATTACAATTTAGTATTTCTGCTTGTCTTTTTATTTGAATATTATAAAATGAAACATTATATATTATAAATACAAAATCAGTGCCACTTGTCATATGTAGGTCATTTTCAAATAAAATACAATTTAAAAAACTATAAAATTCTTGCTAAATATTGTTTGATTTTTTTAAAGATTTTATTTGAGAGAGAGAGAACGAGCAGGGGGGAAGGGGAGAGGGAGAGGGAGAAGCAGGCTTCCCACTGAGCAAGGAGCCTGATGTGGGACTTGATCACAGGACCCTGGGATCGTGACCTGAGCCGAAGGCAGACGCTTAACCGACTGAGCCACACAGGCGCCCGCTAAATATTGTTTCTGAAGTTCTGAAGCCTATTCTTTTTCTTAACAAGGGGGATTAAAAGATGACAGCACAATTGTGACATTCTCCTCTACTTAATTAGAAGGCTCAAGGAAGAACTGAAAAGAACTTCCTTACTATTTGACTTAAATATTTAGTGCTGTGTCTATGTACAACCTAAATCAATCCCATCTTCTCATTTCTCAATTAAATCTTTATCCTAACACCTTAAAAATAAGAGATATAATAGATCACTCATATACTTAATTGGTTTCCATTTTTACCTACTAATTTCCATATTTCTCAGAGACATAGTAATAAGGTACCACAGGTTAATGTCAAGCTCCAAATGGAGATTAAAATACTTATTTTATAATTTTAATAAAATATTTACTTGCCCCAACCTCCTTCTCCTTCTTTTTTCATACTGTGCGTCTGGTGCTTTTTGAAAGTTTGTTTAGAATTTAACCTGCATCATACTTTTTGCTGACATTATTAATAAACATTTTCAGAAGGGGGATTATGCCTTGTAAATTTTCACTTAGTGACATAAGTTATTAAACAAAAAAATTACTCACACTATATTGTTTTGGCTAAACTTGGTGAACAAGTTAAAAAAAAAGCAGCCTCGACATTATGCAGTAATTAAAAAGAATGAGTTAGATTTATTCATGATCTGGAAGGCTGCACATGATGTACTATTGAGTGCAAAAATTAGGTTGTAGTATCATGTATTATAATAATATTAATGAAAGACCCTTTCCCACATGAATGTATACATATGAGTAGGAAGAAGGATATAGAAGGATGAACAGTGTGCTGTTCATTTTTGGTTACCTTGGTTGCTAGTTGAGGTTAGAAATGAGGGTAGAAACATATATTGAAAGATTAATTTTTTCTTCATAGACTTTGTGTCATTTTACCTTTGAAACATTTTTTTTAAAGAAGAATTCAACGAATAGGATTTAAAAATGTAATCTGGATAACAAAGTTTAATGAACAACTTTTGGTGAGGATTTGAACCTGGTACTACAGGTTAGAAATGCTGTACTAGCTCTAATTTATGTATAAAGCCTACATTTCCAAAAGCCAAACTGCATCTTAGACAAGTAATAAATAACCCATAAAGAAAGTGAATATGAAAATGGCTTCCATGAGAAATGCATCACACCTTAAGACATTGTTATATACAAGAATATAATTATTACATTTAAAAAATAACTTCAATTAACCAGAGACAAACAATTGAACTCTGTAGCAAAATGCAGACTAATATATTAATTTTAAAAAATACTATAATGTCATGGAAGAAGACTAATATTTACCTGAAGAAGAAACTTCATTAAAGCTTCTAATACTCATGTGGATTTTATAAAGCCAATAAGATAAAGGCAACAGAAATATAAAATACCCTTTTATAGAATGACTTTTCTTCTTGAAAAAGAGTCCCTTATAAGCTTTTATTTTGCAATAAATTTAAAGATTGTAATCGAGAAACCACAAGTATTTCCGGGTAAGGCTGAAGACCCATTTGCTTGTTATCTTTCAACTTTTGTACTATAACTTTGGCAAATTCTTCTCCTTGGATGTCAGTGGTGTCCAGTAACTGTCTGACTTTTGAGGTCCTTGTAGGTTTGGTACTAATGAGTTCATAGTCCTCCTTCATGATCAAGTCCCTGGACAGAAGAGCGTCTAGCGACTGGTTAAGGCAGGCTTCTGTCATCTGGCTCACAATGTCTTCCCTTTTACTCTGGATCCACTGTTGGGCTATGCCAGGCTGTGATCGCGCTGCAGAAGAGCAAGGCATGACAGACGAATGAGGACAGGTAAACAGCTATGAGTAACACTGGATGAACAAAGAAGTGACAAGGAATAAAACCCCTAATTTTCTACGGTTATGCTAATATGGAACACAATTTTGGGGGATGCTGCTAATTTTCAGGAAACACTCAGATATTTGGGTTATCTCTTCTTTTCCCTTCAGTTCCCTTCCCAGAAAAAGCCTTTTTATATGCTATAAATCCACGGGGCAAAACCCAATCTATGTTATATATATTTTTTAATATAAAGGATATCTGCATATTTTTTAAATAAACAAAAATAACTTCACCTTTAGTAACATATTAAGTCACACCTCCTTTTAGCACTCCCTCCCTACATAGATGTTAGATGTTCATGGAATACCATGTGGGCCTATTATTACATGTTAGCACTCTTATCTCCTAGGATTGGAAGTACTTTCCTACTTAAGAAGGTATATATTTATCATGTTGAAGAAATAAAGACAAAACTTATTGCATGGCAAATATACTGAACATATAGTTGCGAGGTAAACAGCATCATTTACAAAGTGCTAAATATTTACCTGAGTTTCCCTCAGCTGGGAGTGGATTTATTACTGCTAAAGAGCACAGGGTGGTCTTGTGATCACAAAATGTCCCCTTCTGAGCTGCAGAAATGTTACTATTGCAACTGTGATTTACGGGATAGTGACACAGCGTAGAAAAGTCTTGAGTTTTTCCTACAAAACACAGTATCTTCATTAGGGGTAGAATAGTCCTTAGCTATTCCTATTAGCTAAAATATCAACATCTGGGTCACACAGAGGATAGTATTCAATGTGTTTAAATTTTCACTGTTATTAAAGCTGGTTCATAAACCTAATTCCACAAATATATTTTAGAACAAAAATGTGTTTATAATGAATGTTTTTACCACACTTCTGTCTGTGCTTGTCTGTTTTATGTAAATTATAAATCATGAAATTTTACTTCTTCACATAATTCCGTATTTCTTCTGTGTCTTCTTCCTTCTGTACTTTAAATGTGTCTTCTAAATCTATTTATGATATGTGTCTTTCTACACTCTTCCTCGGTAATCCTATTCAACCTCAGGGTCTCAACTGTCACCTCTCTTCCAAAATCTATACAATTAAATTTCCTTTCTTCACTGAGCCTTAGTCTTACATTTTCAACAGCCCACTAGACATCAACCTCATATGCGCTAAGCACCTCAAATTTGAAAAAAAAAAAAATTAAAAACTTAATTATTCATCTAACTCTAAAACCTATTTCAACTATTTCTGTTAATAGCATCAATGTTCTCCCAGTGACCAGGCTTGACAACTTGTTCGCTCTTTTTTTCTCTCTTTCTTCCCACAAGTAGAATTCTATAAGCTCCTTCAGTGTGTCCTCCATAGCATTTCTCTCACCATTTCTCCCTTCTTGTATTCTGGATCAGGTCTCACAACCTCTCAGGTATATTACAGTAACAGACTAACAGTCTACTAACTGGTTTCCCCACCTGCATTCTCCTTTTCCTTCCAATACATATTCCAGCCAGGACGAATCTTCCTAAAGCAAAAAATTTTTGTCATGTCACACCCTTGCTCAAATATCTGCAATAGCTGCTCCCTACCCAAGTGAAAAAGCCCAAACAGCTCCGCGAAGTGTTAGAATTTGTGATATGACTCCACCCTATTGGTCTTTTATCTCCTTTCATTCATCCTCTTTACCAGCTAAAACCAACTACTCACTGTTCTCTGTGTTTTCTTGCTTCTGTGCCTCTATGTTGTTCCTTTTGCCTGGAATGCCCATCTTTATAACTATAGGTCCAACCTTCAGTCAGAAACAATTTCTTCATGATGACAACATGGTGTAGTGGAGTGACATGAAAATATTTATCAAAAGACTTGGCTTCAAGTCTTGGATTTGCCAGCTACTAACTATGTGATCCAGGAAGTCTTGATTTTAAAAATCTGTAAAATGAGGAATATCTCCCTCACAAGGTTGTTGTGAAATGCTTTATAAAAAATGTTACTTTTCCAGTGTATTATCATAGCTCTACATCCATATCTCCTTTACATCACTTTCTATCTCATACTATGGTTACTTAGAAACATTTCTCTTCTCTTAGAAGGTATTTTTTAAAATATCTTTTCACAAAGTCGAACACAATGCCTTCAATATTTTAATGTATTTGTGGAACACCCCACTACTATTTTCACAACTTAAGATTCTAACACTTTTAAAAAAAATGAGTTATGGCTGCAGATGAAAGCTGTGTTCCATATAAACCATGACTGCTGACCAATAATATTATCTTAAAAAAAATGGAAAACATGCAAGTAATACTGACTGAAAAATTTACATACTAGATAAAAAATCATTGTCTGGAGATGCTGACAGGGACTTTGAGGCTCTACTAGAATCACTACTTTCATGGGGTTGAGAGGATCCACACGATTCCTAAAGTAAATAGAAGATAAATTATTTAGATTAATAGAAAATCATTTTTAAAGTTACATAGCTTTAATTTCTAAATAGTTCTTGATTTTGGTTTACTATAAAAAAGAATAAAAACTATTACAATTTATACCTTATAAAATTAAAGAAACATATATAAAACAAGTCTTATATATTCTTAGGAGAAATTATTAATTTGAAATATGAATGAATGCTACTAAAGAAATCTTTCCTGGGCGCCTGGGTAGCTCAGTTGGTTAAGCGACTGCCTTCGGCTCAGGTCATGATCCTGGAGTCCCGGGATCGAGTCCCACATCGGGCTCCCTGCTCAGCAGGGAGTCTGCTTCTCCCTCTGACCCTCTTCCCTCTCGTGCTCTCGATCTCTCATTCTCTCTCTCTCAAATAAATAAAAAATCTTAAAAAAAAAAAGAAATCTTTCCTTTTAGATAGCCACGGAAATGGCATTTTGCCTTTCATTAATCATTGTAAGAGGTAAGGACAAAGCAGTATTATAGCTAGTTTACATGTGGATAAGAAGGCATAAATATAATGGTAAAAATGTAATCAATGATTTGCCTATGGACAAATTGGAACACCATTCATTATATGAAACAATGACAGGGACTAAAGTTAATGGCAAACAAAGAAGCAAGGACTATGTATGATTCAATGAAATGAACAGTGGCATGAAAATTAGGAGTGTTTGAGTCTGAAATGGAGATTGCCACTGGCTACCTAATAAATCTTAAAATCTCCTGGGGCTTTAGCTTCCCACATATAAAGAAAGGAATTAAGACTAAATGATTTTTCATTTTCTGCTCATATTTTGAGTTTATCAACATAATTTTTTTACCTCCTGTGGTCCATGAGTTACAGGTATGTTCAGAGATGACTCCATTTTCTTCTTGTCACATAAGTGAATAGTGCTTGAAGCACTCTGTAACTGGAATGAATGCATATATGTCCTTTAGTTGAAGGTGATTAGGAAATTATGTAAAATACAATGCTTAACATACTTTATATGTTTATACAGAATCAATGGAAAGTAAAGTTAAATCATTTAAGGATATAAATATATAACCTAAAGGTAATAACTAGAGAAACAGACTTTGAATCCTGCCTCGTATCATTTGGTTACCTTGAGCAAATTTATCTTTAAAGATGGACTAATATTGGGGATGCCTGGGTAGCTCAGTCAGTTAAGCATCTGCCTTCAGTTCAGGTCCTGATTCCAGGGTCTTGGGACGGAGCCCCGCCTTGAGCTCCCTGCCCAGCTGGGAGTCTATTCCTCCCTCTCCCTCTGCACCCCCCCCAACTCGTGCTCTCTCTCTCTCGCTTGCTCTCTCTCTAATAAATAAAATCTAAAAAAAAAAAAAAGATGGACTAATACCTACATGCAGGATTGTTTAAGAGATTAAGTGAGATAATGAACAGAAGGTATAAACTAGGTACTTAATAAATTTCAATTTGTGTAAGTATATGTATCTATGTATCTACCATAATTTTTAAGTATTTACTGTATTTTAGGCACTGTGCTGGTAAGTACAAGTATTATTTTCATTTTACAGATAAGAAACTGAGGGCTAAAGTAAAGGATACAGAGTGTCCTAACGGAATGATGGGGATCATGTAGCCAGTCAGGTCCGATTTAGAATCCCAGTATACTTAACTATTGGATTTTAGGCATGAGACTTACTCTCAGTTTACCAATCTGTAAACTGGAGATAAGAATACCTATTTTGCAGGATTACTGTAAGGAGGATTATAAACAAAAAAAGTCCTAAGATTACTTAGTAAGCATTCAATACATGCTAGCTCTTAAGCAGATGATTTATTTATATGCTAAATCTCTGTATTAAAATCATTTAGTGATTTACTCCCATCTCTATAAACCAGTAGGATTAGCTGCCATCATTAGTGAGTGATTTAAAAAACAAACCTGTTAGTATGCTTCTCTTCTCCAAACCAACATAATGTCAACTGCTCTACAGAACTTTAGAAATTGGTGGGTACTACACCCAGCCCTCCATTATTCATACTTATGACTGTCTGCTCCATTACACAGGTAAGGAATTTTAGAAGAAAAAAACCACTATTCATCTGTATATATAATCCACCTAGCATAGTACTTTGCACAAAGCAGTCCAATGAACATTTGTTAAATACCTTTTTATGTGAACCTTTAGAATTATTCTTTGGATCTCTGTTATATAAGTTTTTCTGTGTTTTTAAATTTATTGAAACATTTCTGATAATGCAATATCCTTGAATTAATAACATTTCTCATAACTGATGTTATGATAATTCAAATTATTTATTAACTAGTAAATCAACCCTTAGAAAGAAATGAAATGGAATATTAAGGAAAAACTTCTTTTGGTTCAGTTTTTACTTTTTAAGATATAGGAAAAGCTATCTGTGAAAACATGATTTACGGGACCTGGTTCAAAGAACTGAAAAAAATGTAGGAACATCAAACAAAACAAGTCACCCTAACTGGTGGTCTTTGTTTTCAGAAATCCCTCCCTCCCTCCCTCTTTTCCTTTCTTTTTTTAAAAGATTTTATCTATTTATTTGAAAGAGAGCATGAGCACGGGGTGGGGGGCAGTAAGAGCAGAGGGAGAGGGAGAAGCAGGCTCCCCGCTGAGCAGGGAGCCTGATGCCAGCTTGATCTCAGGACTCTGGGATCATGACCTGAGCCAAAGGCGGATGCTTAACTGACTGAGCCACTCAGGAGCCCCAGGTTTTCAGAAATTTCTTTCCTTTTTTTTTTTTTTTAAAGATTTTATTTATTTATTTGAGAGAGTGAGCATGCGTGCATGCTTAAGTAGGACGGGCAGAGGGAGAAGGAGAGAACCTGGAGCAGACTCTGCATTGAGTGCGAAGCCTGATGTGGGGCTTGATCTCATGACCCTGAGATCACAACCTGAGCCAAAATCAAGAGTCAGGAGCTTAACTGACTGAGCCACCCAGGTGCCCCCAGAAGTTTCCTGATGAAGAATCTTATTAAATTTGTATTCTACTCTTGGCCCTGCCATTAGCTAGCTGTGTAGAGTGTTGTGTAACTTTCCTATACCTCAGTGTCTTACCCATAAATAGAGACGATATTCTTCCCCTACCAGTTTCACAGAATTGATAAAGAATATTTTTAAATAGAAAAAAATACTAAAATTCTGAGTAAAAACAATATAGCTACTTAAGAACAACAAAGAAAGTAATGCTTTTTTAGTAATTTAGCAATGCTATTATTAAATGCTATTCAGGTATTTGAAAATATGTACTTTATTTTATATAAAAAGCCTAAATTTCTCCTAAAAAATGAACAGTTTTAAATATAGATCGTAGTGTTTTGCAATAATGTGGATGGAGCTGGAAGGTATTATGCTAAGCAAAGTAAGTCAATCAGAGAAAGACAATTATCATATGATCTCACTGATATGTAGAATTTGAGAAACAAGGCAGTCCTAGGACCATAGGGGAAGAGAGGAAAAAATAAAACAAGAAGAAACCAGCAGGGAGACAAACCATAAGAGACTCTTAATCATAGGAAACAAACTAAGGGTTGCTGCAGGGGAGAGGGGTGAGGCAATGGGGTGATGGACATCCTGGAAGGATGGACATCAAGGAAGGCATGTGATGTAATGAGTACTGGGTATTATATAAGACTGATGAATCACAGACCTGCACCTCTGAAACCAATCATACATTATATGTTAATTAATTGAATTAAAATTTAAAAAAGTGAAAAAATATAGATCTGAGTGTTTAAGTTGTTTGGGGACAAAAAAAAAAAAAACTGGAATGGTTCTCTTCCACTTTATAACCAAGAGAACAAATTCTTCTATCCACCTTTGCTTGGGAGAAGAAGAGAAAGTTGTAAGGAGAGAAAAGAGAACTGAAAAGATAAAGCAAAAAAAAAAAAAAAAAAATTACAGAAGTTTGTAGCTACTAAGAAGTGGAGAGACTGGAATGTTCTAGAAAAGACTGTACCTACTCAGAAGCAGGGAGGTCAGTGAAAAGTTATCAAAAGAATGAAAACACAGTTCTCTAGTTCCTTAAAACACAAGCACTAATACTGCCACCATCAATTTTTAGTTTGGCTAAAGGTGGCTGTTTCTTCATGCATTTCCCTTTTAAACTAAAGATTATGTCAAAAGATCCAGCAAACTGCAAGAGGCAATCAATGTCATTTAATGATACATAAACTGTAGACTATGCTTGTTTACAACTCAAGACTTTGGTTAATAACTGATTATTTTTATTATTATATCTCAGATGCAATTTAATGAAACTCAGCAAGTATTCAACTATGCTTACTTTGTCCCTAAAGGACTGTAGTTGCTTTTTATATTTATTTATTTTTATTTCTTTTTAAAAGATATTATGTATTTATTTGTCAGAGAGAGCACAAGCAGGGGGAGCTGCAGGCAGAGGGACAAAGAGAAGCGATGCAGCACTCGATCCCAGGACGCTGGGATCATGACCTGAGCCGAAGGCAGATGCTTAACCGACTGAGCCGCCCAGGGCCCCTGTAGTTGCTTTTTAAACAAATTTTGATAATATTAAGAAAACCTTGAAGTAATAGGTCCTTTCAATTGTTTTAATCTACAAATGCCAGAATGAGTAAATAAGACAATTGTTCTAAGTAATTCATATCAACAGTTACTCTGATTTATATAATATAGAGTTTTTGAGTGAGAAAACAAAACAAAATAAAGCATTGAAACTATACATTTTGGCTTCAATTGTTAATACAATTCTATAGCTTAACTTGGCAATAAATCTCAAAACAAGCCCAAGAATATTGAATAAAAAGAAGTGTAAGAACCCAGACTTCTATTACTCTGTATATACTAAAACTTTAGGTTAAGAAATACAGGTTAAAAAACCCTAGTGATTTAGGGCATTCATTGTACATAACAGGCATTCATTACACATTTTAAGCTTACATTTGATATATGGGAGTTCTGGAAATGCCTCTGAAATCTAGAAGTGGCATTTGAATGAAATGGAAAAGCTCTCTGGTGACAGAGAAAACAGAATTCATAGTCTCTGTTAAACTGTAGCCTATATTTGTGAAAAATATAGATAATAACTAAATTAAACTAAGCTGAAAATCTCCATGAATAATATATGATTGTTTTAAATTCAATTTCTACTATTTCATTTAGCAATTTACCTTTGTTTTCTTTAGCTGAATAACAGCTTCAAGAAAAGTTATCTCTTCAAATGTCCTCAGAACTGGTTCAAGTTCTATTAAACATTCTACATAAGAAAAAAAAATTGAGTTCAGATTGCTCTAATCATTAAACTACAAAATATAAATGCTAATATTTCACTGATAAGGCCCTAAGTCAATTTTTTCCCAAACTGATGACATTGAACCCTCTTAAGAGTCTTTATTATATGCATAAAGATAGAAATATACATCATGGAATGCACTTGAGAGTCTAAAAATAAACCCTTATAGTTATGGTCAATTGCTTTTTGACAAAGTTGTTGAGGCAATTCAACAGGAAAAGGATCTTTTCAACAAATGGTGCTAGAACAGCTGGATATCCACATAAAAAAAGACAAATTTAGACTCTTACCTAAAACCATACATAGAATTAACCTGAAATGGATTATGCACTTAAATGTAAATATAGGAGAAAATATTCATGACCTTGGGTTAGGCAAAGAATTTTTAGATATGACATTAAAAACAGGATCCATAAAGAATTTTGATAAATGCACTTCAAAAAAATTGAAAGCTTTTGCACTTCAAAAAGCTGCTATTAAGAAAAATGAAGACAAGCCCCAGACTGGGAGGACATTTTTTCATATCATGTATCTGCTAAAGGACTTATATCTAGAATATATAAAGAACTCTGACAATAAGATGACAAATAACCACATTTAAGAATGGGAATATAACATGATGCAGCCATTTTGGAAAACATTGAGGAGTTTCTTAAAAATGAAAGATAAATTTACCATACAACCCAGCAATTCAACTCACTGATAGCAATCTAAGAGAAATGAAAACATGTTCACACAAAGACTTGCATATGAACAGCCATAGCAGCGCTATTCATAATAGCCAACAAATGGAAATAATCATAATTACTACTACAACTACTACATAATATATGAACTTATTGCTGAAAGGAGAGGTCAGGGCTCCAGATATAAAACTGAGCATCACTAACATATGAATGGTATATAAAGCCATGGTCTGGACTGGATTATCTAGGGGGTGAATAGAGATAGGATACAGATAGTAAAGGGCCCATGTTAGAGCTCTGAGGCACTCCAACAGTTCGAAATTGAGTAGAGGAAGAGAAAGAGATTGAGGAAGAGAGGATACTAAATTGTGTAGCCTCTTGTGTCTTGAAGCCACCAGAAAGAAAGTTTCAAGGAAGGAATAGCTAGTTAGTCATGTCTAATCTGCCAAGAAGCCAAGTAAGGTAAGCAGGATTCTCTAACATTGCCATCCTTGGTAACCCCAACAATGTAGCTTTAGTGGAGATACGAAAACAGGAGACTGATAGAAGTTTGTTAAAAACTGAATTAGAGGGAAAGAAGCAGAGACAACAAGTATGGACAATTCCTACAAGGTGTTTAGATTTGAATGGGAGCCAAAAAATAAGGTGGTACCTGAAGTCAACATATGAAGTCGAGCTTTTTTTCTATATAAAAATAGGGGATAATAATGGAATATATCTGTGTGATAGCTGAATGATCCAGTAGACAGGCTGAGATTGGCACTGCAAGAGTAGAGCAAGAATATAAAGGAACAGAAGCTGGAGAGGGCTTGGGAATGGTATCCAGAGCACAAGTGATACATTTACATTTGTCTAAGTATATGGATACTTTTTTCCCCTGTAAAAGAGATAAGGCAGGAAAGATGGATACAAGTACAACAAGATTGTAGATGTGGCAGTGGATCTATGAGGCAGTAGTGCTCTCACGGTTTCTCTTTTCTTAATGTAGTGTGAGAACAGATGATCAGCTCAAAGGAAAGATGGAGCATGAAGTGCTGGAGGTTTAAGAAGGGAGGCTAAGGTATTAACCACTGTCTTCTTTTCCTAAGCTCAGAATCTATCAAGAAAAGCCACAGAATAATGATAAATGATGATCAAAGTATCAACCTTTATTACTCATAAAGATAATTGGAGAATTTACCTTTAGATCTGTAGCCAATGGGCTTGGAAAGAGTTCACAGCTTTACTCAGCCACAGGCCTCATCTACTTCCACATGTGGGAGCAGAAAATGTATGCATCCTTTAGACAGGCTGACTTCTAAAAGAAGGAAAAAAACTGAGAAGGAACCAGATAAGCATGCTCAGTTTTTCTCCAAAATTAACAAATGAGGTAAGTCTGAGGAAGAGTGCTGAGGGGCACATAGAAGCTGGAAATGTACTTTCTATACTTTCCTTCTTAGGGACTGAAATGGAATTTCATCTTCACTTTGGAAACATAAAGAATGGGCCTTAGGTATCTCCTACAATAGTACAAGATGATCATTGATATAAGGAAGCAATTCTCAAACTTTTAGGTCTTGGGATTCTTCAAAATTATTGACTATCCAAAATAGCTTTTGTACGTTTGTGTCATATCTATTGATATTTACTATATTACAAATTAAAACTGAGAAAAATTTAAGACATCAGAATATATATGTGAGAACACATTCCATTATTTGTTGGAGCAATGAAACCATCATACCTCATTTAGCCTTTGGAAAAATCCACTATATACTCATGAGAGAATGAGAATTAAAAAAAAAAAATCTTAGTATTTATTATTTTGGTGAAAAGAGTTTTGATTTTGTGAATTCTTCTGAAAGTCTCAGGGACCAACCACCCCAGGGGCCCTTGTACCACACCTTTAGAACAGTTGATCTATGAAAATGGAATAGTACATGTATTTGAGAAGCATAACAGAATTGCTAAGTAGTGTTTAGTGTCCAATTTTGGCCATTAATTAATTACTTTTAAAGATCTTATTTATTTGAGAGAAAGAGAGAGTGAACGTGCACGAGCAGGGGGAGGGGCAGAGGGAGAAGAAGACTCCCCACTGATCAGGGAGCCCTAAGCACCAATCCTAGGATCCAGGGATCATGACCTGAGCTGAAGGCAGATACTTAACGCTTAACCAACTGAGCCACTAGGTGCCCTGGCCATTAATTTAAAGAGAAACCAATAACTCCCACTTCTGGCCAAGATGGAGCAACAGGGTTTGATTTGCCACTCTGCCTAAAACAACCAAAAAAGCCAGACAAAATTCATGAAACAGTGGTTTTCAAGATACTAGATACCAGACAACAAAGGACAGTGATCACTGAGATGGGAAACAAATCAGGTGAGCCTTATGATTGCCCACGCTTACTGTGTTGAGAGTTTCTAGCTGCAGCTTAAGAGGGAAGTGAGGTGGAACCTCCCTTCTCAATTGACTGGAAACTTAATTGAAGAGATGGGGCTGAAAGTCTGGGTAGACCAAGGCAGAGAGAGTTCATAGGGCAGTACCAGAGAGGGGAGACATACAGAGAGAGAGCTCTGTGATCTGCAGGAGGCTCCTTTAAGTATTCAGCAAAAGTCTTTAAAGAATAGGGAAAAACCACGAAGTCTGTAGAGAAGTATGGCCTAATGGTATGATCTGCAGAGAAGCTGGAATTTTTAGAGAATGGAAAAGAAATGAATATTTGGAAGTGGCACTGGGGACAAAGGAGATATACATCCTCCCACATAGCTCTGGGAAATAGATAAAATGTGAATCCATTACAAGCAACTTTTGATTTTTTTTAAATATAGTATTAATGAGCATTGGACACAAATTTTGAATAAAAAATATATTTCATTGCTTTTTTAGTTAGAAAGATGATTCCCCAGTCTGTGGCTTATCTTTTCACTTTTTCTTAATAGCATCTTTTGAAGTGCAAAAATTTTCAGTTTTTTCAAAGCTCAATTATCATTTTTTTATGGATCTTGTTTTTAATGTCATATATAAGAGCTCTTTGATTAACAGAAGATCATAAAAACTTTCTCCTGTGTTTACATTTAGATGATGATCTGTTCTACCTCTGAAATAAATCTTAATTCTATCTAATTTGTCTATCACGGATTAGCACCTTAATAAACTCTTGCTAGAGTCTCCTAGGTGGTCTCTTTGCTTCCATGCCTACCCTTCTTCAGTCAATTTTCCACACAGCAACAAGAGTGATCTCTCCAAAACTTAAATTAGATGTCATTTCCATACAAAACACACTTTAATGGTGTTCCATTGTACTTGGAATAAATTTCTAGCCTTTTAATGACAGCCAAAACCCCTCCTTATCTCTCCAATCTCATCTCATAAAATAAAAACAGCAACTGAATTAAAAAAAAACAAACTTTAAGCTTGCCATCTAACTTGTGTGATTTTTCAAGGAACATTTTATTCACAGTATATTTACTATTTTTGTAATTCAAAAGGTCCAGACTAAAACTGTACACTCACTTAAGAAAGATGGTCTTTCATCTGGATTCTGCGCCCATCCACTTTCTATTAGAGAGATCATAAGTGCTCGATGAGGTATATCAAGTGGCAAACTTTCTTCATTAGTGTTAGGTCGATGTCCTTGTGATACACTATACATGATCTGCAAAGGATTGGTGACTTCTGTCAAAACAAGTATATTTCATTCATTAGAAATATATTATGATTTAATACATTAATTAAATACATTCTAAAGTCAACCAAATGAAAATGAGGGAAACTTAAAATCATAGGAGTAATGCATTACCCCCCTTTCTGTTAAAAACACATATATACACATACATATCCCAGCCAGTGACAGACTCCTCTGCCTCCTGTGGTATTTATAGCCTCAACTCACCACATTAATTTTAAGCTTGGTCATCTGATTTGGCCAATGGAACATGAATAGAGCAGAGCTTGGCAGAACTGAGTGGAACCTAGCACAGCCAAGGATGGCCACTCACACCTAATGTGAATGAGGAACATATACTTATTTTGTAAGCTACTGAGATTCTGAGGTTGTTACACAGAAAGCTCAAAATAAAGAAATGGACAATGTTATCAGAAAACTTAAAAGTTATTCTTTAAAGTTTGTTATAGAAGGAGCACTAATTAAATTTTCAAATAAAGAGTTTTAGAGCCGGAATGAATCTTAGAATTCAAAATTTCCATTTTGCAAATTAAAAAGAAACGAAGACTCGAGATTTAGTGGCTTGATTACAGAGCTAATTACTGTCAGAACAAGAATCAGAATCTACATTTTTCTGACCCTTAATCCAGAACAGTTTCCAATATACAGTGGATTCAGAATTGATAAATTGTTATGTTTTTATAGTGTGTTTTCCAAAAAATGAATGGTAGGCAGATTTAAAATAAGATGGGCTTTATTTAGATAGTTCTGAATATGGCCTACCAACATGCTGTCATCTAGAATAAGAAAGTGAAAGTACACTTACCTTCAAAAGGCTGTTTTCTGGACAAGACTTCCCATGTGATCACTGCATAGCTTTTAAAGATAAAAATATACATACAGGACATTATAAACTAACTATGAACAATAAACTAAAATAGTACTGATTTTAAAAGCTGACTGTGGAGATATTGTTTTTGCAAGTAATAAGGTAGTGAAATGCTATATAAAGAATCACCATAATCAAAATGATGAATGTTTATATACAGTTTTGTTCGGAAAGGGAACTAATCTAATTTGAAAAATTAACAAATTACTGTAATAAAAATTTGGAGTTATAGGCAAGGATAACTTGTTGTGGATGATTCTTAATCACCTCTAATTACATGATTCTATTATTCACACAAAATAAAGAGCAATAAAAAAGATGATCTCATGTAGCCCTATTCTACTGCCTTTTTTTCTGGTCGAAGTACTGTCTCCTTTGGTAGTGTTAAGTATTAACCACACTGTTTCCCTCCCTCCTCCATCAATGTCACATAAGATAAAAACTTTTTAGTACTATATTATAAATTGACAGAACAATAATATATACTTTAAATTTTTTTCAAGGATGTAAAAGTGGCTTAAAGCAAGGCATCTTTAATTTGAAAAATATTAACCACTGTGGTCTCTTACTTTATTTTCACCACACTTATGAGAGAAGACTAAAAATCACACTTTAAAATGTAGCTTCGGGGCACCTAGGTGGCTCAGTCAGTTAAGTGTCTGCCTTCAGCTCAGGTCATGATCCCAGGGTCCTGGGATGGAGCCCCACATCCAGCTCCCTGCTCATTGGGGAGTCTGCTTATCCCTCTCCCTCTGCCTTTCCTCCTGCTCATGCTCTCTCTCTCAAATAAATAAAATCTTAAAAAAATTTAAATTAAAATGTAGCTTCAAAATTCTGATTAATCTTGTTTTTAGACAAGGTTAACTCTGAGCAAAAATAACATATTATACCTATATATATCATGCTTGACACTGGCCCTTGATTTTTGTCCAGGTTCATAGTTCTCAGGTGGCATATAGATAATTGTCCCTCCTTCTGGTGAAGATTTACTAGTTCGTGATTGTGAGAGGGACACCATACGCCATTTTGATAAACCAAAATCTGCAATCTGTAAGGGAAAAGAGTAAATAATTGAATTTAAAAATTTTTTCTTAAAAAAAAAAACAAGAACTGTCTTTGTTTATATTCACTGTATTTAGGTATGAGACCAGAGGAAGTGTTCTATATTAATATTTTATTTCTACATATACTATCAGTTTCTTAATACATTAAATTCTAGAGTGCTGAACCCACTAACTCTAGAAGCAATATATACTGACTTGAAGTTCATGTCACAAATTTTAAAATGGAAAATGAGTTTTGAAAAATTAAACACAGTATTTTTTGTCTTAAATTCTGAATGAGCATATATGCCAAACACTACTTTTTAAGACAAGTAGTTTTACAGCATGTGGTTTCAAAATTGTCCTACACCTCACAGAACTGCTAAACTACTGGTATCTAATATGACTGCCACTGGGCATTGTTTGTGACTCAGGTTTATATGTTCTTATTTACAATGCCCTAAAAATAGTAACCTTAAATTCTGAAGCAAGTAAAATTCCAATATAGTATAGGTCATTATTATATGATTTCTGCGTACCACTAAAAGAATTGTATCTGTTGGCAACAGTCTATTTAGCATATAAAACATATTTATGTCCACGACAAGTACTGCCTAAAGAATTATTGGTGACATTCTATACTTTTGATATATCCTTTACAGTTTTCCTTCACTTGTAAATTTTGTATAGATGTTATATAACATCTTATAACTCTATTTAAAGGTTTCCTTATTTTTTAAAAAATGGAAGACAAAATATAAGAACAAAACAGTATTTAATGGACAAAAGGGTGTAGTGAATCTTTAAAAACATTTAATTTAAATTATTTAGATCTTCACACTGCATAAGTTAGAGCCAACAGAGGGAAATGAATTCTATCAAGCACACCATTTGTGTTTCAGTTATTTAACTCATATACTTTTACTAATTTTAATAGAAAAAATTTTTTTAGTGTTTAGATGAATTTGATATTAAAAAATATTACTTTTAAGAAGGGAGGGGGCAGACTATATGAATTTTTTCATACATTATTAAAATAAAAGGGTAAGTCTAAGAAAAAAAATAGAAAAGACCAAGAGAAAACATGGTGCCAATACATGAAGAGCTAAGCTGGATTGATTCTGAAAGGCAATATACCACGTGGCTAAGAACATGGGTTCTAGAGCCTAAGGTTATATTACATTTATATTCCAATTCTACCACTTAATTAACTGTGTGTGAACTTGAAGTTTTTAAAGTTTTCTGTGCCTCTGTGTGATTACCCACCTGCAAACTGGGGATAATAACACTATATCGCAGGGTTGTAGTGAGAAAATTAAATAACTTATTCTAAGCAAAGCATTCAAAACATTACCACATAATAAGTGATCCATATGTGTTAATATTGTTTTATATACAGGTTGCTCTTATTCAATACAATCTGTTCTTCCCACCTACCCTCTAAAACCAAAAAAAACAGCACTCCAGTTGCACATTTGCTAGAATAATAAGCATTACTATGATAAATAGAGTTTATTTTTATGCCACAAGTGAAAAATGTTTATTTATTTATTTATCTGAGAGAGAGAGAGAGAGAGAGGGAGCACAAGAGTGATAGCACAAGTGGGGAGGAGGGAAGGGCAGAGGGAGAGGGAGAAGCAGGCTCCCCGCTGAGCAAGGAGCCCGATGTGAGGCTCCATTCCAGGACCCCAGGATCATGTCCTGAGCCGAAGGCAGACACTCAACTGACTGAGCCACCCAGGTGCCCCCAAAAGTGAAAAATGTTAAAAAAAAAAATCTGAGATGTGGTCTCACCTTATACCTGAACTATAATTTGCAAATTCCTGGGCTAAATGTTGGTTTGAATACAGTGTTGTAGAAAATGGTATTCCTGAGCTTGCTTCCTTATGTGTTCCTTCACCTAAGATCTTCATCTTTATTTTCAAAACCTGACCTAAAAACCTTAATCAGAATTCTATGAGCTGATTTAGTCTGGTTTTCACATGGAACTATACTTCTCCCCTTTCTCTGTTACAAATAATACCATTATGAAAGGCATGACTCATTAAATCTGGATCTTCAACAGAAGAATAAAAGTGAATAATGTGAGGGAAGGAATATGAATGCCACGATTTCTTGAAGGTCTTGATAAATTTATCATTCAGCCATGAAGATAGAGAATAAGAACTTTCCCATTCTACACAAGATCTTAATATGCATTTCGAAGCTAAGGGCTTTCTTTTTAACTAAAAAGATGATTTTAAAAATTAGAGGAAATTAAAACACACTACTCATAAAAATCTACAATCCTCTCACCCTAGTAGAATAGCTATTTTCATTTATATATACTATCCATATCCATAAAACTATAAAGTTATCATCAGTAAGAAGTTACGAAGAATAACCCTGAAGTATTCTGGTTTCCACACCGGACTGAGAGAATAGCAGAGAAAGCAAATATGGCACATATAAATATTTTCATTTCAAAGAAGCCTATTACTAGTTCATTTGTATCTAAGGTGCACTAATGGACATGTGGCAGATAACCAAACTAATGTATCCTTTTTAAAGTAGAAAAGTCTCAGTTGACCTTAATCAGTAGTAAACATTTTTCTTTCAGATACTATGTTTCTGGTCAGCATTCCAGTGAGAAAACTTCAGAAAATGGTAGCAAGGTGTAAATTTCCATTTAATTTCATTAAGTATTTTTAAAGATATTTTGCACTTCATTTAAAGGCCTTTCCAAGAAGATAGGTAGATTAAATAACTGTTAGTTTTCATGAGTCAGTGATGAACTTTGACTTTTAACGGACATTTATAAAGTACAAAGTAGAGACACATAAGATGCATGTAAAAGAATGTCGCTAATTTATAAGAATAGTGTTAGAAAGGTCACAGCTCTGTATGTACTAAATTAATAAAAATTATAAAAACTAAACCTAGCCAAACTATTCTAAATTTTATTCATATCAAAGAAAGACCAAGGACACCCTGTTGATCAGTGAAAACAAGAAAGTAAGAATCATTACCTATTACTTTGCTTCTGTTTACCCTGCTAAGTATAGTTTTCAGACTGAGATGAAGAAAGTATAGTCCAAGGACATTGAAAGGTTTAAAAAGTGCAAATCTCAGGTTATTTTATATATATTTCAGGTTACTGAGAATACTTGCAAATATCTCCATGGTGCTATCAGCGTTCTTTGTGGGACAGAATGGAGAGGTACTACAGGATATGAGAAAAATAAATGCCATTCTGACTTTCAAAAAGGAAAGAAAATGTTGATTTTGCAAATCTACTTATTGGTGGACACTATCCTTAATCCCTGCTTAAAAAATTTAGAAAATTTAATAAAAGGGATACCAGCAAGAATTCATGAAAAACAAATCATGTCAGACCAGTGGTCAATTTCAGGTCTCACATGCTATATCCCAAGCCCTTGGCACAATGCCACTGCTGCTCCATAAATATTTACTGACTAAAATTATAACCAATTTCATTTCCTTTTTTGACAATAGTAGTACTGTCAAAGAGTAAATGTTAAAACAGTTTGCATATTATAAAACATTTTGTATTTTATAATAACATGCTTGACTATTAAGTTATCAGGCCTATCCATATATTATAGAAGATCTGGAATTCATTCATTTGTTTATTCAACAAATACTTAGTTAATGCTTCAATATGGCACCTGCTGAGCAGGTGGCAGTTAATAAAATCTGTCTTCATGGAGTTTATTTTCTAATTGGGGGAGACAGTCAATAAACATATTAATAAAAATATGACAGATGGTGAAAAATAATATGCAGAAGCATAAATCAAGGTGTAAAGACACAGAGGAACTGGGTGGGTCATCAGGGAAAGCCATTCTGAAGAAGGTGAGGGAATAAGCCAGGAGGACACCTGGGAAAGTAGTCAAGCAAGGACTCCTGATGATATTCTCAAGGAAAAAATGGAGAAATATGTAAAACAGTTCTGCACAAAGTAGTCCACACAAAATTAATGATTATTCTCCAAAAGTGCTAATTAAGGATTGATACTGACCTGGAAGGAGGTTCTAAGCACCATGTTGTGAGGCTCTGATCTGAGCTCTGTACTGGTTAATATTTAATCATGACTTAAAGATACAAAAACTAGCTAATTAAATCTGAGGATGACACAAAGCTGGGAGACAAAGTTAAAACCCTTGAGCTACAGAAATAATACTGAAAAAGATCTTAAGAGGTGGAAGTGATCACTCAAATCTAACAAAATAAACTTTGATGATGTCCAGAAAGTATTCTGCAAAGTACACGATAAGGAGATGTGGCTTAAGCAATAATACCTGAACAAAAGAACCTCTCAGGGCTTGTTGATGCTAAGCCCAATTTAAATGTTGTGAAATGATCACCCCCCAAAAGCCAATGATTCATTAATTATTAAACAAAGTGCTTAGGGACCAGGGAAATGACTTCCATTCAAGTCTATATTCATAAGGTCACAAGGAGTATTTTGTTTCATTGTGAGGATAAAAATTTAACAGATTTAAACACAGAAGCATCTGGATAGCACCTGTGATTAAAAGCAATGTAATAAGGAAGTTGGCTGAAAGAACTAAGGATGTTCAGAAGACAGAAGAACAAAACACAAGTGTATGTCAGGGGCAGGGGGATTATAGCCATCTGTAAACATTGAGAGGGCTGTCATATGGGAAGTAGAATTGGACTTATTCAGTTTATCACAAAGAATAGAACTAGGACCCATGGATGAAAACAAACGGAAGGCATTTTGATTAATCATATAAGAAAATGTCACAGTCATTTAAGTATCGAGATTAAGACTCCCCTGTCATAGACTAACTGCCTTTGGAGATAAGGGACTATTATAGTGAAGATCCAGACTTGAATGGACTTGCTGACCATTAAGGCACTTCTACCTGTGTGGTTCCATAGCTGATGTAATAGATTAGTTTCTTTTTTTAGTAGTACTGAGATGGCAGCTTGCTTCTTTTCCTTTCCCCTCCCATTTTATTCTAGGGAGAGGACGTGCCTTTAACAGAGGTTTTGTTTTTTATTTAACTTTTCTCACATTTTTTGTATTAATTTTTCTATTGTTCCAACCTCCCTGTTATTTTTTCTTTGAACATTTTTTGATATTTACAGTAATCTCTAATTACATATATTATTATAAGAAGTATAGCAAAATAACATAAAAATAAAGTGAGTTACATTTAGTGTTAGTTACTTAGCAACTACTTTTTATTTGCTGTCATCAGTTAGATAGAGGGTAAACTATGAAATCACTACTACACCTGGTGCCTTTAGGCACCTAAATCTTATGACTTATACAAAAGTTAATTCAAAGTAGGTCCTAGATTTAAATGTAAAACATAAAACTCTAAAACTTTTAGAAGATAACATAGAAGAAAATCTTTAATACCTATGGCTTGATAAAGGCTACTTAGATATGACAGCAAAGAATTATCATAAAGGAAAAAAAAACCCTGATAAATTGGACTTCATCAAAATTAAAAACTTTTCTTTGTGAAAGACCTTGTTAAAAGGATGAAAAGAACAAACCACCAAGTGGGAGAAAATATTTGCAAACTACATATCTGATGAAGGACTCATATTTAAAAATCTAAAGAACTCTCAAAACCCAGTAATAAAAATCCAAAGGATCCAATTAGAAAATGGGCTTAAGACATGAAGAGACATTTCACTGAAAAGGATATAGATAGCAAATGAGAAAGTGTTCAACATCATTAGCCATTAGGAAAATGGAATTAAGACTATGATGAGCTATCACTATATACCTATTATAATGCTAAGATAAAAAACTGTGACAATACCAAATGCTGGTCAGGATATGGAAAAGCTGGGTCAATCATACACTGCTGGTAGGATGTACAAAGGTACAGCCCCTCAAAATAGTTTGGTAGTTTCCTAAAAAACTAAACAAACCCTTACCCAGCAATTGCACTCCTGGACATTAGCTCTTGGTTATCTAGAGGAACAAAAACTTATGTTCATTCAAAAAGTTGCACAGGATTGTTCATAGGACTTTTATTGTAACTGCCAAAGACTGGAAACAATATAAATACCTTTCAGTAGGTGAATGGTTAAACAATTTTGGTATACACATACCATGAAATACCATTTACCAATAAAAAAGAACCACTATTGATATAAGCAACAACTTGGATGGATATCAAAGGTATTATGCTAAGTAAACAATGTTAATCTCAAAATACCACATACTGTATGATTCCATTTATACAACATTTTCAAAATGACAAAATCATAGAGATAGAGAACAGATTAGTGGTTGTCAGTGGTTAGGGATAGTGGAAGGGAGCAGATGAGTGTGAATACAAAGGGGTAGCATGAGTGATATATTTGTGATGATAGAACAGTGCTATATCTTGATTGCTGTGATGGTCACACATGTGATAAAGTAACACATAAACTATATACATGCACTGTACCAATATCAAATTCCTGGACTTGAAATTGTACTGTAATTACATGTAATGTAATCACTGGCAGAAACTGAGTGAAGGGTTCATGGACTCTCTTTGTATTATCTTTGCAACTTCCTGTGAATCTATAATAACTGCAAAATCAGAAGAAAAAAAGGGCTTACTTGATCATTTCAATTAAGGACATAATGACTTTGTATTTTGTACCATAATTCTATTTATCTTTCAAGTCTAGGAATAACTAAGCCACTGAAGCTGGAAGAAGGGACACTGAAGAAAAGAATTATAGGCTATGGAAAACGGAGAGATATTAAATTGGTTAAGTAGAGAAAAAAACACTAAAAAGTCTTTAAAACGATTAATCTCAAGGATGCAGATAAACTTTTTTTTAAGTAATTACCTTAACATGAAATTCATTATCCAATAAGATATTTTGAGTCTTCAAGTCATGATGAAGTAGAGGAGGATTCATATTGTGCAGGTAGTTTACACCCAGTGCAATTTCATGCAGGATGCGAAATCTCAGTGGCCAAGGAACATCAGGATATTCTGTTTTCTTCAGATATACGAAAATAAACAAAACAAAAATAAGTGACCATATTCATTACATTTCCACTTAGAAAATTAAATATTCTATGTGGAAATACAGTATAAACAAAAGTCAAGACATATGTTCATTTTTATTACATAGTATCATGGTATCAATTTGATATTATTTAACATCCATGTATATCTTATTTTCCTCAATTTTTAGAAAAAATAATGATGACTTTATAGTTCTGTTATTTCCTTTTAGTTTATGTTGGTAATACAACTACATGGTATTGGCTCTTCTTTCTTCATTTAAACAGTTTTCAATTTTTTTTTTCTGTGTAATACCCAAACACACCTATCTCTCATTCTATGGTTTGTATCAAATAACTACATGCACACACACACACACAAAATTTCTTTTTAGTACATACCATTAACTCAAAATTTATATTTTAATTTTCCTATTGATATAAAATCATACCTTATTACAATAATCATTACATCAATTAAAATTATGACCATATTATATTTATTTACTAAGCATGAATTTCTCATACTTCTTATACAATTTTTGTATTCTAGATTGAAAAATTAGCCTTTGGAAGTTTTGCTTTTGTGAAAGAGACAAAGATCATCTTCATTTTTAAGTGTATGCAACACAGACATATTTAAAATATAATGTTTTATATATCTTGGTACTTACAAGTGATATTCATCTGAACTTTTTGAACATAAAAGTTAGTGTAGCTTCCTAGGAGAATGAACATACTCAGAAAAATTAGATAATTTGGGAAGATCTGGCAATGAATCACCAGGCACCAAGCTACTGGATACATTCTAAATGACATGAAAAAGTATGCTTCTACTGAAAGCTCAAATCTGTTCTTGAGAATTTTTTCTGCAAATGGGTAAGTGTATAGCTCTTTGATTAACCAGCTGTTTACATTGATTTTGATTTTTTTCAACAATCTTCTTTGAGGTTGGGGGAGAGTACTTCAAGATAAATCCTGCTCTAATAATACAACAAAGGAAACCAAAAGAAACATAAGACATTACTTCCTCTGGTATACACAGACCTCCATCCCAGTGAGTAACTGAATCTTTTAATCTGTAAAAAGGTAATTTTCTTCTGAAAATTATGTAGTTCAAAGGAGTCACAAGGCCTCTGTGCAGTATAGTATCACATGGAGGCTTTTGATCATGGAGACAGAGGTAGAACACTCACTCTATATGTTATGATTCCTTCTAGGAGTTGGCAGTCCCCTGAAGGAGGCTCTATAATTTCTAATGGCTTCCAATTTTGGGTATCAGAGTATCTAATGGGTACTGGAGTGTGGGAAGAAAATATTAGAATTTATACTTATATTCATTTTTTTAAAAAGGAAATTGTACTTAAGTAATATTTATATTGATTGCTGTGTTGTTATACAAATATTATACACAGACACCAGTTATCGTACTCTGTCCTTGTCTCAGATGGTCCCGTCATAAATACAAACTGATATCCGCTGAAATAAAGAGGAAGTCACTCCCTGAGTGGCATCCATTCTCTCTTGTTTGTTTATAGAACGTTGTGATGTATCAGACTTTAGGAGCATCCACTAATTGGAATTTATAGATCATGTTACCAGATTTTAACTAAACCAACACTCACAAAACAGACCGAGTGATTTTATTTTTATTTATTTATTTATTTATTTATTTAAAAGATTTTTATTTATTTATTTGAGAGAGAGAGAGAGAAACAGCATGAGAGGGGAGAGGGTCAGAGGGAGAAGCAGGCTCCCTGCTGAGCCGGGAGCCCGATGTGGGACTCGATCCCAGGACTCCAGGATCGTGACCTGAGCTGAAGGCAGTTGCTTAACCAACTGAGCCACCCAGGCGCCCAGAGACCGAGTGATTTTAAAAAAAGATTTCTCAAGAGAAACTGCAGGTTGCAGATAGTATTAATAATATAAGATCAAGCAAACAATAGGTGAATACATACAGTTTGAGACTAAGGATTCACAAATTTGCTTACTGATATAATGAGGACCTACCCCTCCAGACTGCTTACTGATGGGATTCACAATCAAAGCCAGAGTAACTAGTACATTGATAAAAAGGTAAATGGCTCATGCCTTTGTCTATTATTGGAAAAACCAATGTATTTGGTACTCAGAGACAGACTTATTTGGCCTATTTAGAACTTTATGGACTGGTATTATTAACATTTAATTTGAATCCTAAATTGTTTTTAAGATAAAATAAAATCTGGCTTAACTAACAGGAGGTTATATAGTGTACAGAGTTTATCTGTTCTCTCTCCCTCTCCTACCTCTGTATATACACATGTGGTTACTGGAATTCAGTTACACCTCAGGAACAGTAACCTAAGCAAAATAACCTCAGTCCTGCAGAATGCAAGGCCTGACTCTCTGATATTTTTAACAACACAAAAGAAGCCATAACTTGTCTAACTTTACCACTCTAATTGTTTTCCATTATTCTTATTTTGACTCGTCTACAGCTCTCCAAATAATCTGATCATATGTAAAACCAAAACACTAGATAGCTTGAATAACAGAATGATAGCTACTAAAAATGCACAATACTTACCCTATGTAGGAGTTCATTTAATGATCCATTTGGCATGTATTCCGTAACTATTCCCAAAAATTCAGGCTCATTGCAAATTCCCAAAATTGGAAGAATGTAACTAAATCTAGCTTTGTGTAAAATTTCAGCTTCTCTTAAAACATCATTTCTTTCACTAAAGAAAGAAAATGCATAATTATTTCAAAGTAATGAAAAATACACAATAATCATGCCTATAACATTAAGACTAGATTTTTTCCCCCCATTAATTGACCTCATGTAAATTATGCAACTTCTCTGTCCCTTAGTTTCTTCATATTTAAAGTAGGGATAATACCTGCCCTATACATTCCACAGGTCTGTTTAGAGTCCATAATAACTTCTCTGAGCCACTGACAGAAAAAAGTGTGATATACACAGGTTATTATTATTGTACTTTCCTAGGAAAGGAAAAGGACACAATATTTGAGTAAGTTTATAAAGTCTATTGATATTAGAATTATTGCTATTTGAATTAATTAAGGTTTATGTTGTATTAGATTATATTTGATTAGAATATTATATTAAATTTCATGGTTGCATACCATGTGCATTTTTCCCAAATATTTAAATAATATGTTGTAGATTTAAATGACTAAATGATAATAGTTGCCTAAGGGTCAAAAATGCTTAGAAATTATACAATGGAACTCAGGAAAAGAACACTTAGGACAGGTAAATGCTTATAACAGATCCCTGGGGCAACTCTGGATCCCAGGTTCATTGGCTTATTTATTCACAAAACAAATAAATACTGAACATTTATTATGAATGAAAACTATGCTCAACATTTTGGAAAATATAAAGATAAACATAGTCTGTATCCTCAAGCTGCCAAAAAATTTTTTAAGAAAAATAAATACTCATTGTGATTTTGATTTGCATTTCCCTAATGATTAGTGATGTTGAAGACCATTTCATATATACTTATTGGCCATTTGTAGGTATTCTTTGGATGTGTTAATTATCTTGATCTTGGTAATCACTCTACAATGCATATGTCTATCAAATCATCATGTTGTGCACTTTAAATATATATAATTACATGTGTCAATTATTCCTCAATAAAGTTAAAAAAAGGAAAGCAAGTAAAAAAAAGAAAAAAATACATACTTAAAACATAAGGCAGAATGTGATAAGTGCCATCATAAACAAATAAATAAATAAGCAAGTTAAGTAAGTAAGCAAATGAATAAATACAGAACTATGGGGAACTCAGAAAAAGAGTAAACTTTGGGCTAGGGGAGTTGACAGTCTTTAAAGAGGGATTTCAATTGTACTTTAAGGGCAGACAGAACATCAACCATTGGTAAAAGGGCCAAGATGGATATGGCCTCCAAGATGGGAGGACTTTTGCTTTTCTTTCTCATCTGTGTGTCCCTAAGACCTGAAACAGGACTCGGCACTTGGTAGATATGTATCAAATGTATTCAAGGAAGTTACAGTGAAGGTTGTGTTTGGAAAATGGCAGATTGTTTAATATGAATCAGGATACCTAAAAGAGCATGTAGGGGAATGAAGGTGAATAGGGTAGGCTAGAGCCTCATCGCAGAGCCCTAAGGCCAGGTGAGGGTATTTACACTCTATTTGGTAGTTAGCAAATTGTGATTGTAGGTTTTTGAGCAGGGTAATGACATGAGCAGAGCAAACTTTCAGGACAATTATCTGGGCAGAAGGATGTACGATCAGCAGAAATGGGCAGAGTTTGAAAGTCATGTGTTAGAATATTACAATACTAATTAAAGATGTGAAGCAATGAGAGTCTGAAACTATAAAGGTCACAGTGAAAATGGAAAGAAAAACACTAGCTGAATAGAATGTCCAGGTGGTGGTGACTATGGTAGACAAATTAAAAAAAAAAAAGCAAGGGAATTGGAGATGTCACTGGTTTTTACCATAGACAGATGTGTTGGTAGCAGCAATAACAAAACAGAAACATCTCCAGAAGTTTATTGGGTAAGCAATGATGATTAGTTGGTGCTTAAACCACTCAAGCTCTGGATGAATGGCTGTTGAAATAAGAAAACAGACATTCCACATCAGACTGTGAGGCTTGCTCTAAAAGCAAACAAAAGGCAAAATAAAGCAAAAAATCTTATTTATGTTCTGAATAGGTAATATATTTATATGTTTTAAAATTCAAGAGTTACAAGAGGACATAAAGTAAAAAGCTTTTTTCCTTCTCCCTGTTCTCAGCCACTTAATACTCTGTGAGGCAACCTATTATTCAGTTTATGAGACCTGTTTTAATTAAACTTATCTTCCCTAAATTGAAAAGGTAAGAGATGGAGATCAACAAGAACTACATCTTATTGTTTAGCACTCTTGCAGGGAGACAGGGGATGGACTTGAAGATTTCTGGATACACTGAAAAAAAAACTATAGAGAGCACGCTGAAGTCTCAGTGATACTTAATACATTCGTTCTTTCTCTCATTAAGAGTATCAGGCATTCTTCCTTCTACTGTGATCCTATTATGTGTCATACACTTTATATGTACTATCATCCAAAGACAACCCTCTAAAGTTGGTTACCTTAACACCACTTTATATTGAGGGCACTGAGGCTCAGATAAATAATTTTCTAATAGGCCAACATTAAGTGGTAGGGTTGGAGTCAGATTTGAATTGCAGTTGTGGGACTCCAAAGCCTGTGTTCTCTCCATTCCACCGCTTGATCAGAGAAAGGAAAGGATCAAGGAAAGTTCTTGAAGTCAGATTTCAGGAAAATTGAGTAAGTGGCAAAACAGAAAAAGCCAAAAATAAATAGGTCTAAAATAGGTTTTATATTTTTAAAAACTAAAAGTTACAGTTTTCATAGGCATATCACCAAAATTACCCAACTCAAAATTTCAGTCACAAAACAGTTATGTCATCCACACGGTGTTTGAAAAACCAATCAGACTCATCCACACATAAAGAGTCGGGAGATTGTTGGGGAAGGCCCACTCATTGGGGAGAAGTCAGGCTACGGAGAATGACTCACCAATCACTGAAATAAGAACACGTAACTGCACATAAACTTATTTTTCTTCCAGATGGTCTCAAAGAACAATGCAAACCTTTCCCACACCAGAGCCCAAGTACATGCATTTATTATTCCCACTTTATGTGAGGAAATGGACACCCTGTGAGTCAACTGCATAGCCCTGTCCTATGCTCAGATTACAAGAATACTGCTAAGGTTAACATCTTAGGTAACAAGTGGGAAAAAACCTGAGGCAGTAATGCCAGAGGGTTTAACTGGTCCTTATGACTTCTTTGACAACAGAATTTCCTACCAATTTACTGAAGAGTTTTAGGTTATGAAAACTGTTAATAAGAATAGAAAGGGAACCCCCTCTTCATTCCTTTGCTCCCAAATAGCACAAAACTTGGATAAATTAAAATCTTGAGAAGCAGCATCCAAAACAGGAAGATCAACTTGCTTTAGAATACCTAAAGGGTCCATTAGGGTTAGATATAGAGCTGATTCTAAAATATTTTCAGTCTTTCTAACCAACCACCACCCTTCAAACTTGACTACATACACATACATTTGCCTAGCACTTGCTCCACAGAACTCAAGGTCCAGGTGAAACAGACACCACATCTTATCTACCACTAGATCTGGATTATGATATACAAAAAGTGGGAACAATCTCCACAAGTGTCTCAAATTTACTGTGAGATCTGGCCCATCCAAGCCTGATAGCAAGACAGCGAAGTAAAGCTACAGGCAGATGAAAGTCCAGTAACATTGGTAGAGCTGAAGCTGAGGGATTTATCTGACATTGGACACCAACAGCCTCTGACCAATCAGGCACCCAGCATGATGAATTCTGACATTAGATAGAGGGGGAGGAGAGGAGAGTGTTGCAATCATGGATGTTAACTCACTAAGGACGGAATGCAGGGCCTACTGGAAGGCCAATACACAAGACTAAATGACTAGACCCACAGACTAATACCTTCGATCACAGGTCAATGGTATAGGAATGAAATGTTTTTCTGGAAACAGAAACTAATACTAACTTTCCCTTAAAACCTAGACAGTGCAGGGAAATTGTACAGGATGTGAAAGACGTTCAAAATTTCTGGTCGTTTGTCTTCTGATTCAATGTATTGTTAGCAAAATAATACACTTATCCTCTGGGGACAGGCTTCCCTGCGAGAGTGAGAAGAGAAACTAAAGCAAGTAGAGTCTGGTATCTCAACTTTCATGACCATACGTAATAAACCACAAACAAAACAAAAACAACCGCAGGCCTACACCAAAACACCCTGACTTTTGGTGTCTGGAGAAAGGAAGTCCAGGAATAAGAGGGACAGAGCAGGAGAGGGCGGTGGAGAGACGGGGTGAGCAGAGGAATGCGAGAGCCGCATCTCCAGAGAAGCCAGTTCTCCCCACCACGCAAGCCCCGAGCCTTGAAGGGCTGCCCAGAGGTGACGAGGGGTGGGGCCGACCGCAAGTGTCGCCGCCGTTTGGGCTCCAGAGCCCGCTTGCTCGGGGCTGGTGTTCGGGGCTCCGCGGGGGTGCCCTACCTGTCGAGCATAGCGGTGTGGATATGCAGCTGCTTCACGGCCACCTGAACGCGCCAGTCTGCGTGGCGGGCGGACGACACGGTGCCCGACGCGCCGCGGCTCAGGTAGCGCAGGTCGGCGAGCTTGTGGCAGGGAATGGTGGGCAGGGCGCTGCAGATAGCCTCCCGGTTCATGGTCGCGGGCGGCGCGGGCTCTGAGGCAGCTGGCCGGCTCTGGGTGTGCCCGCCGCTTCGGCGGCTTCCGGGGCTCCTCGGCTGCGCTCGGGCGCCCGCACCCGCTTCCCCACCCCTGTGCCGGAGCCGGAGCACCCGGGCACTTCCCGCGGCGGGACACTAGGTCACGAGGCAGCCCATGGCCTCCGCGGCCCACGCCAGTCGTTGCTTTTCTGGAGTCAGAGCTGACTTTTCTGGGTATCGTAGTCAACTCTGCCCGGACTACGCGTCGAGGAGGAGCCTCCTCCCCTGACCTGGCCTTCCCAGGCGCACCAGCCACCCGAGCCGGGCACTCCAAGCTCCTCCCTCCCTAAACTTCTCAGGTGACGTCAGCGGCAGACCCTGAGGCGGGGAGAGGGGCCCCGGCCCGCGGCCCCCGGATCTCCGCTCTGTGGTGCGGCCCCCACACTCTGGGCGACACCCGCGGGGCTGGGGCGGGGATTAGGGGTGGGGAAGGGAGCCAGGGACGCTCGTTTTGTCTTCTTTCTCCCCAATTTTCCAGGTTTGGAAAAATTTTCTCTGAGGGGAAAAAAAAAGTTCCTTTCAGCAGCCTGGTGTCCGATTTTGGTCAACGTGCTCTCACACCAGGGAGGAATCTTCTCTGAGCCTCATAGTGCTGGGGGAGTCGCCAGACTCCAGAGGTGGCGGGTTGCGGGCGGGGACGCCGGATTACCGACTCCGCGCCTGCGCGAAACGCGCCGGTGAGGGGTGGGCGTGGTGGTGACTTCGAGAGTTGGGCACTGAGGAGCCCCGCGGGTCAGGTAGGGTGTAAATTCACCTGCCTACCTAGACTCCAATCATCCCTCACTTCCAGGTGCGTCAGGAGTGAGAGGTGGGTGATAAATCCTGTCAGAGGCTGTCTCCGTTAACAAGTTCTGGTGTTTAGCTCCTGTTCCGTGCTTCTCTACTAGGGAGCTACTTTTCTCTCTCTTCTCTCTGGCGTCCATAACTGTATGGAGATGGAAAAATAACTTTGAGAAGAGTCAGTCCCTCTGATTCCAGGTAAGACTGCAAAAAATTTCTTTTTCATAGATCTGGGAGGAATGCGTTTCATTTTTAACCAAAAACCACCAAACATCTTTCCGTTTTTTACCTTAGAACAAACACCTTTCTACTTGATTATTTTGTAGAGTGTGAGTGCAAATATTGTATATAATACTAAGTACATACTAGGCTTTTAATGAATTCTAAGGCCACAGTAATAAGGAATACCTGACTTGAATGGGGTATTTTTGTCAGCAGAGAACAAATGTTTCCTATATTTTTGTGTTGCCTGAAATGAGAATAGCAATGTTATATTTTACAATACTGGGAAGTTGTGATGAAACACTGTATTTTAAAATTTTGATGATTTAAAATAAAATATTTAGTTTTAAAGATCTGGTCTGATACTCTGTGCTTTATTGCTTAATACACTTTTTGCTACAAAAAGTGCTCAGAAAACTTGCCCCATTTATTCATTCATTCATCGTTCATTCATTCATTTAATTTTCCAGTCACTTAATAAACTAAGAGTTCCAGAAAAAGAACAAAAAATAGGAAGGGAGGAAATGATCAAAACAATAATTCAAGAAATTTTGGCAGGTTTGAAGGACAGGGGTCTCCATATTGAAAAGGCCACCAAGTACCGTCAGTGAATTAAAAAAGACCTATATGTAAGCACATCCTTAAAAAGGTCAGAACCCTAAGAACAAATAGAAGATTCTACAGGTTTTCAGAAGGAAGAAACAAGAATAAAGCGATGGGGATTAGAATGGCATTAGATTTCTCAACAATAACACTTTTATGCTAAAACACAGTGAAATGAAATTTCTTCGAATTCTAAAAAAGAGTAGCTTCCAACCTACAATTGTATAGTTAGCCAAACTATCAAGTATAAGGGCAGAATAAAAACATTTTCACATATACAAGGATGCAAATGTTTCTTTTCTTTCCATCCACCTTTTTCTTTTCTTTTCTTTCTTTTTCTTTTTCTTTTTTTTTTGAAAGTGAGTGGAACATGTGCTCCAACAAAACATGGGAATAAATCAAGAAAGAGAAAGACATGGATCCAGAAAACAGAACCAGGAGGATGTGAAGGTAAACCCCAGGTTGTAGCAGAATTAGAGAGCAACCTTTTTTCACTGGAGCAGGGAGATGGCAGATTCCAAGGGAAAGACTGTAGTTAAAGTAATTGATTTTATACATTATCTAATTTTGAGTTTTGGGGAAATTATATTGATGTTTGATAGATCTAATGAAATATGTGATAAAATTGGAGAGAAAACTTAAAAAATCTAAGTGAAAAGCAATTAAGTCTATGAGAAATAAAAATCATACAAAAACAGAAACAACATTTCTACAAACTGGTGATGGTGAAAAGGGTAAGACTTTTCAGAGCTTTTGTAATATCAGTATATTGTGAATCTCCAAGAAGGAGAGAGCATGAAGCATAGAACGCTATAAAATTTATATTTTAATTACAGTACTTAAAAAATAAGTAATATATGCACATCTTTCAACATTTAAAAGTATAAAAGTGATAATCCCATGGGAAACTAGGCAGACGACCTAGACACCTCACAAAAGGGGCTATTTAAATAGCAGATAGCAAATGAAAGACTTAAGGTGCTCAACGCTGTTAGTTATCAGGCAACTACAAGTTAAAACCACAGTGTGATACCACTACACAAATACTGACTAAAAATTAAAAGACAATATACCAAGTGTGGGTGAGGATTTGTAGCAATTGGAACTCTCATACCCACTGCTGGTGGGAGTGTCAGTTGGTACAACCAATTTTGCAAACTGTAAAGCCGTTTCTATTAAAATTGTGGCTATGCAGATTCTATAACATCAATTCCTCCTTTAGGTATATAAATATGTATATGCAAATGCTGGAGTATTCATAGCAGTGCTATCTATAATAGCTTCAAACTGGAAATTATCCAAATACCCATAAACTGTAGAATTGGGTAAATAAATCGTGGCACATTTACACAGTGGAACACTAAACAGCAATGAGACTGGACAATGTACAACAATATTGATGAATCACAGAAGTATAATGTTGGATGAAAAAAAATCAGACACAAAAGAGTATATATTTGTATGAGTCCGTTTCTGTTAAGTGCAAAAAGCACTATGCTTTTAGAAATCAGGATACTGACTTATCTTGTAGAGAGAAGGGTAGTGACTAGAAGGGGCATGATGAGACTTCTGGGGTGATAGTAATGTTCTGTTTCTTGATCTAGGACCTAGACTCTAGATGCCGGTTAAATGGGTGTATTCACTTTACGAACAGTCTTTGAGGTTACACTTAATATGCACTTTTCTGTATATTGTTATACTTCAATAAAAAGCTAATAGGTTTAAATATAAAATATATATGTGGATGTATATTATGTCTCTCACTTTATATAATTAGTTTCACACTATACCCTGTTCACCTCGCTTGTTTTTCACTTACGGTCTATCTTGGATACCTTTCCATGTGAATGCATAAGTTTCCTTATCCTTTCTTTATACCATAATTTGTCCTCCATTAGTGGACACTTAGATTGTTTCCACATATTTGCTATTACAAATAATGCTGCAGTAAATAATCTTTACATATGTCATGTATACTTGCGCAAATATATCTACATATCTAATTCCTAGAAGTGAATTGTTGAACCAGAGTTATGCCCATTTGTAATTTTGGTTTATATCGTCAAATTATATTGTCGAATTGCTCTTCATTGAGGTTGTACCAAATTTTTTCCTGCAGACAGTAAGAGTACTGTTCCTCCACACAGTTGCTTTCATTTTCTTTTGAGATAGATGGCGCAATTTTGGCCTCATGATTGCTGGAGTTCATTTAAACTCATTTAAATGCTAAGATTCTTTTTATTTCAAGACTTCTAAATGGTCGATTCAATTTATTTATCACAACCTCAAACCTTTAGCTTTCATGAATGTGTTCACCATGACAGAGTTTAAAAATGTATTTTTAGTCATATGTGTATTGTTTAGTTCCCATAATTAATTGGCTAAAGACAAAACTTAAAGAATACTGAAGCTGAATTACATCAACTAAATGAGAAAAAATGAGAATAGTTATACAAATTAGGTAAAAAACAATTATCACATTTGTATGTTGAATTCATCTGTTCAAAATCCTGTAAAATCACTCCTTCTCTCTGACAAATAAATAAATAAAATCTTAAAAAAAAAAAAAGGGTTCCTGGGTGGCTCAGTCTGTTGAGTGTCTGCCTTCGGCTCAGGTCATGATCCCAGGGTCCTGGGATCAAGTCCTGCATCGGGCTCCCTGCTCAGCGGGGAGCCTGCTTCTCCCTCTGCCTGCTGCTCTCCCTGCTTGTTCTCTTTCTCTCTGATAAATAAATAAATAAAATCTTAAAAAAAATTCTTTAAAGTCACATTAAGATTTTTCCATTTACTGAGAATTAAGGTTATTTATACTGCAGGTGCTCTTTTATGAAATAGTAGCTTGAAATCTCTAATATTTCTTCAATTAGAAAAAAGATGGAAAAATTAAAAAATAAACCACTTAAAGTACAAATCCAAGAATTTCAAACATCTCATTCTAATTTTTTCTCTTTTTCAGTCTGAAAGCACCTAGTAAGTTTTAATAATACAAATGCTGGGAAAATCTCTATAATTACATAATAGTGAACAGTTTGCATGGGAAAACTAACATTTGGGGTACATTTGGTACATTTTCTTCCCAAAAAATCTCAAAAAATACCTGATAAACTCTGTGATGATGTGGAGTCTATTGTTATGGAGAGTCAGAGAAGTACACAATTTTGCAGTTAATGAGCACCATAATGTTTCTCATTTAGCATTCTAATTGTGCTCACTCCTCTAAAATTGAACATGTTATTTTCAAATTGTTGATAAATTATGCTTTTTCTGGTAAGCTAAATTAAACCAAATTCTTCATCTCAATTGGAAAAAAGTAAACAGTTCTCATGCTAGAATTATTAATAAAGAACATTAAAGTCAACCTATTAATATAGTATTGATAATAACAGTTTTCTCAAACATTTTTCAATCTAGAGTTGCACTTTTATCATTTAGCATTCAGAAAAAGGTGAAATTATTTTTAAAAATTCCTAAGAAGTTAAATTAATATATCTTTCTGTGAAAGTGCTGAAAAGTAAAAAAAAAAAAAAAAAAGTTTGAAGATGCTAGTACAATCTCCCATTGAATGAATACCTAGCAAAGGGTTGCTCAGCTTCCTTTGAACATTTCCTGACAATAGGGAATAAACTACATTTTGAACAAGGTGTTTCCATTGATTGATTAGAAGTTTCTATTATTAAAATTCTCTAACATTCTGAGTTTTACAAAGTTCTTCTGGTCTTCATATTAGCTGCTTATGGTATATTAAATTGACCTAATTCTTCTACCTAGACAATTTGAGCTTTGTCATTCATTCAGCAAACACAAAGGGGATACCGCTTTTTTTTTTTAAAGATTTATTTATATATTTGAGAGAGAGAACGCGAGCGCTCGGTGGGGAGGGGCAGAGGGAGAGGGAGAGAGATTCTTGAGCAGACTTTGCCCTGAGTGTGGAGCCAAACGTGGGGCTCGATCTCATGACCCTGAGATCACACAACTCTGAGATCATAGGACCTGAGCTGAAACCAAGAGTCTGATGCCTAACTGCGCCACCCAGGTGCCCCTAAAGGGGATACCACTTTTTAAGGTGATATGAGGGATTTAAAAACAATACTTTGAAAGCAGTTATGTCATCTTTAGTTTTTGGCATCTAATGTATCTTGTTTATTTCAACTTGGTTTTCAGACTCACAGTGGTTTTCCTATGAATCTACTCAACTTCACCAGTATTCCCCTAAATCCAAATAGATTAGAAAATTCCATATGAAGTTTGATAGGCGAGAGGGACATGTGGCTATGCCTGTCTCTGATTTGAATCTGTTAGTACAATGGAAGACTATTAATTTTTTTAAGCAGTCTTGTTAAACTATTAATTTAGGGTTGAACCTGTGGTCAACTAAAACTGGAACTTTTGTTTGTTGTTTCTTTCTTTCTTTGTTTTTAATATAAACTGCCTTGAGATCCGGTTTTCTCTCCTGCATTTGTGCAGTTGATGCTTTTAGATGCAGTGTCACGGGTTGAATTGTGTACCCTAAAAAGATGTTGAAGTCTTAACCCCCAGTACCTGTGAATTTAACCATGTTTGGAAACAGGTCTCTGCCTCAAGTTAAGATGAGGTCATTAGGATGGGGCCTAATCCAATATGACTAGTATCCTTATAAGAAGGAGAAATTTTGACGCTGACAGGCATATAAAGTGAAGATACTGTGAAGACACAGGAAGAAAACTATCTACAAGCCAAGGAATGCCTAAGGCTACCAGAGGCTAGGAGATAGTCATGAAACAAATTCTCTCTCATAGCCGTCAGAAGGAACCAACTCTGTTAACAGCTTGATTTTGGACTTCTAGCCTCCAGAAATATGAGAGAATACGTTTCTGTGGTTTGAGCCGCCGAGTTTGTGGTTCTTCCTTATGGTAGCCCCAGGAAGCTAAGATCCCCAGGTGCAAGTTTTAAAAACTTTTTTATTTGGGATTAAAAATAGAGCGGGCGCCTGGGTGGCTCAGATGGTTAAGCGTCTGCCTTCGGCTCAGGTCATGATCCCAGGGTCCTGGGATCGAGTCCCGCATCGGGCTCCCTGCTCCTTGGGAGCCTGCTTCTCCCTCTGCTTCTCTCTCTCTCTCTCTCCCTCTGTCTCTCATGAATAAATAAATAAAATCTTTAAAAAAAAATAAAAATAGAGCCACAGGGAGTTACAAAGATAATATAGAGAGGTCCCAGTATCCTTCACGCTGTTTTCCCCAATGGTTACATCTTCCATAATTTAAATATAATATCAAAACTAGCAATTTAACATTCATCCAATGTGCGTGGTTGCTCTGTATCATTTTATCACGTGCATAGATTCCTGTACCACCATCTCTCTCTGTCAAAATACAGAACTATTACATGACCACAAAGATCTCCCTCCCCTCATTCTCCACCCACTTCCATCCTTAAAGCCTGGTAACCAAAAATCTGCTTTCCATATTTGTAATTTTATCATTTCACAAATGTTATGTGAGTGATAGGTATGTGATATTTTGAGATTGGATTTGCAACTCAGCATAATGCCCTTGAGATCCATCAAGTTGTTTCTTGTATCAGTAGTTGATTCTTTTTTATTGCTGAACAGTATTCCATGGTATTGGTATACCAAAGTTGTTTAACTATTCGCCTATTGAAGGACATTTTAGTTGTTTCCAGGTTTTAGCTATTACAAATGAAGCTGCTATGAATAATTATATATAGGTCTTTGTGTGGACATACATTTTGATTTCTGAGTGTTTTTTGTTTTGTTTTTATTTATTTTAGAGAGAGAGAGAGTGCAGTGGGGAGGGGCAGAAGGACAGGGAGAGAGAGAATCCCAAGCAGACTCCCTGCTGAGCACAGAGCCATCGTGGGGCTCCATCCCACAACCCTGAGATCCTGACCTGACCCGAAACCAAGAGTCAGACGCTTAACCAACTGAGCCGCCCAGGTGCCCCAATCTCTGAGTTTTTCTTAAAAGAGACTGCCACACTATTTTCCAAGTGACTGTGCCATTTTAAATTCACACCAGCAATAGATAAGGGATTCCAGTTTCCTACATCCTTGCCAGCATTTGGTATTTTCACTATTTTTAATTTTAGTTGTCTAATAAGTATATCATAATGTCTCATTTGTAGACCCATATTCAATTTTTGAGTTTATTCATAATAAGTTTTGCTGTATCTTCGTAGGTCCATTCTTCCAGCCTTCCATGATTCTCTTAAATATGTACTTTCCTGTATTGGCTATTCCAGGAAATGTGATGTTTGAGATTATACATATCTGACTTCAGTTCTCTGCTTCTTTATTTATGAACTGTAATTGTGGGCAGCCTGTTTAAATTCTTTAAGGCCTATTCTCTCCTTTTGTGAAATTATTCCTCTAACAAATTTTATAAATATGAAGTAAGATAATGCATATAAAATGGTTAGTATGTGGCATATCCTCAATAGATGTTATGTTCATTCCCTTCTGTTTTTCAATTCAACAAAAATGTGGACCAGAACAAATCAAGTTCAGAATCTAGAGGTCACTACTAGAGACCCCTCTTCATTAATTAACCAAATAAACCACTATGTAGGAAATATTTTTCACTCAGATTGTAAAGCTTTAGGAATTTTTTTTTTTTTACATTTTAGATTATAGCCTGGGAAAAGTGCTTGTTTTATTTGCTTATTGAAACAAATCATATTGGTAAGATTTATTTTATTTTATTTTTTTGTTATTTATTTATTTATTTATTTATAAACGATTTTATTTATTTATTTGAGAGAGAGAGAGCATGAGGTGGGGGGGGTGGGGAGGAGCAGAGAGAGAAGCAGACTCCTCACTGAACAGGGAGCCCAAGGCAGGGCTCCATCCCAGGACCCTGGGATCATGACCTGAGCCCAAAGCAGATGCTTAAGGACTGAGCCACCCAGGTGCCCCTTTTTGTTAAGTTTTTAGAAGTGCAAATATAAGGCATAATTTGGCAGAAAACATTCAATTAGTATGTAAAATCTGACTCAAATCTTTCCATATCAGCATGATCTGAGTTATGTGGCTAAAGAAACAGAAGTCCTTTAGAAAGACTAAAGGATTTATTGTGATCATTTGGGGTAAGATGATCAGCGATCAAAATCTTTGGAAGTGTTCCATGCAGGGAAACTTGTTTGCAAAAACGTGCAAATTGTTAGTGGGTGAGTTAGGGATTTTGGTGCTATTTCATAACATTTGGACAAGGAACTGAGGAGTAGATATATCATGCCTCAGTCGCCTGCTATCTTGTTCCATGAGGTGCCCTGATAGAGTGATTCATACAAAGAGTAGTGGCAAAGGAAGGAAAAGTGGTACTATATTGTTAAAACTCTGATTGGCTGACTGGAGTGCTAGGCAAAAGGTCCAAGGAATCTTCCCCCTCACTGTCTTCTTCCATCTAGCTTCAAGCTGGAATGTTCTGGATTTAAGATAGAACTGGCTGGTCTATCACTTTTTCATAATAAAAGAAAAATCACAGCTGAATAAATTTATACCTTAGTCCTCAAATTATACATATGGTTATTATATAGAATAGAGAAAATAATTTGCCATAAAATCATCTACTTTGGTCCCATGCTTAAATAAGAAAGGCAGCTGAAAAGTACTGAGTGACTACTATCCCTTTACCAAATATTTATTGGCAAGAAACATTTTCTCCCTTTCTTCTTTTCATGTAAATGTTATTTTTAATTAAAAAGAAATATATGCACCAAATTGGCATGGTAAAATATTCAAAGTTATAAAAAGGTATGTAAAAGAAAATTAAACCTTCCTGATACTCTAGATCTCCAGTCCGTTTCCCCTAAGGCAACAAATAAATTTAACAAATATTTTATGTGCCATAACTTTAGGGCCTGGAAGTACAAGGACAACAAAATACAGATGGTCTCTGTCCTCTAAATGCATTTTTTGTTCCAAGTAGGATAGAAATCTGAACATAGAGTGTGATAAATGTTCTGATAGGGGAAGTCCAGGGTACTCTCAGGTAATAGAGGAGAGAAGCATGCATGGTAACTTAATGAAAGAGAGAGTAGATGAATTGCCCAGGGTCACAGGGTTTGTGAATTATTGTGACAGGATTTCCTGAGGAAATCTGAATCAGAGCCCATAGTCTTTCTGGGAACTGCCTATTCTATCACTAGAATATTCCATTTTCAGTTTCAGTTTAATGTTTCAGGAGAGAAGTTTAGTAGCAAGAGGGAATTTCCCAGTTTCAAAAAGATGGTGCTAGACAAAAAAAAAATCACTATTAAGGGACATTTCATGGGGAATTCCATTTTCCTTTAACATTTTACTTGGTAGGTTTCCAAGACTATGGAAAGATATATTACTAGCAGCTCAGTTTGCATTTAAAAATTTCAGCCCCTGAAATTAGTAGGATATTCTACTTTTTAAAATTTCTTCAGAACTCAAAATCATTTTTTCCATCTGCCATTCTGACATTGCAAGCAACATATACTATGGTATATTAACTTTTTAGGCAACACACACACACTTTTTTTCTCTCTCTCTCTAGGAAGTGACTGTGTGAAAGAGGTTTGTTGTTAATTCAGTAACATTTTTAGCATCCTGTTTAGGGAAGGCACAGACAAAGTTGTAGAAGAAGGCGGAGCTTTTTTTATTTGGTAACCAGTATAGTCTAGGTTATGACAGAACAGGCTGAAGAAATTGTCTGGAACTAGAAACTATGACTGAATCAAGGATCAAAACGTCAGTGGCTGAGCAGTTTGCCAGAGAGAACTCTAGGGTTTATTGGGAAATAAAGAATACTCAAGAAGCTGCTTTGACTCAGTTTTCATAAATTGTAAAGAAGAATGGGGCGGCCTTATTGCACAACTCCAGAAGTCACTCTTCACATTGGGGCAGTGCCAGTCATATGGAATACATTATGAATTGGGCCCCTACAGTTGTGCAGTCTCCCAGGATTGTTCTGACAGTCTCAAGTTATACAATGACTCTAAAGGGACTTTATAAACTAGAAACCTGTCAATATGTATAAATAATAATAATAGTTGTTCTTTTCCTGGCCAGCCCTACCCTTCAAACAAAACATTCTCATCTAGTTTGAGAAAGAGAAAGGCAGCCCCCTATTAGATGGGAGCTGGCCAGACACTCACAGTGAATCTGCAAAGTTCTCATGTTAAGTATAAACACTTTCTTTTAAGACCAACCTCAGACAAGACTGTTTTGTGACTGTAATGAAGCCAGACAAATAATTAGACCATTTCATGATCACGTCTGAACAGACAGAAATAAGAACATTGTCCAAACCAGAAAAGAGAGTAAATATCCCCCTTTCCTGGCTAATAATGAGTGACTGCCACTTTTTTACTGATTACTTTAGCTCAACTTCATTCCTCTCACAGATAAGAATTATTAAGATACTTAGAGAATTACTCCTGCTTCCAGACAGCATCCAATGTGGGAAAGATGTCTGTTTTCTTGAATGCTCCCCCAAATAATCTAACACAAGGCCAAGTCCTGCAATAAGTTTTTTCTAACATTACTGAGATACCCCATGGTTCCCCATGGTATACATTTCTTCTTGCAATGAGTCAATACACCAAGCTTTATAGAACTATAGATGTGCTCTGGTGGTTTTTGACTAGAGGACCTTGACAGGTTCATAGAGCAGTTAATGCCCAGCCAGGAGTCCTACTATCTGCATCTCAGTCAGTGAGCTAGCTCCTCTGACTTCCCTAGTCACTTGTCTATGGTATTGGTGCTGTTTCAGAGCCCAGAACTCCAGAGGAAGAGACTCTGGCTGGCCATAATCTCCATAATCTCATCTTTCAAGTTCTTTGTGGATTATGAGGATATGGACATCAGGTACTGAATTTCTAAAACAACAACAATTGCTTTAACAGAACATTTATTTAATGTTTGCTATGTGTCGGACACTCTTCTAAGCAATTTACATATAATAATTCATTTAATACAGCAGTATTATGCATTAGATGCTGTTGTCATTCCCATTTCGCAGATGTAGAAACTGAGGTACAGAGATGTTAATTACTTGTGTAAGATCCCACAGCTATTAAGTGGCAGAGCCAGGATCTGAACCAGGAAAATTATATGGCTGCATCCTGAATCTGTTCAACTGCTCTAATGAAGTGGTATTAGACTGCTGAGAGATGGAGTGTGAATGATATGGTAAAGCGCAACATACTATAATATGAAGAGTTATTTTATATGTAAGCAAGAATATCTTTTAAAGCAGTTCAGTCTGGTAACTGTAAAGTGTCAATATGTCTCTTTAATAATAGCTTATTGTTAGGAATAACTTAAAATTTGTGAACTAATTCCATTGAGTATAATTTGCTTTTTCTTTTATATATTAACAATTTAATCCAACATTTATTGAATGTCTATGATGTGAATGGATCTTTGATATATGATATGGGACACACAAGGATAAATAAACTCTACATTGCTACCTACAAAGGTGATGACTAAAGTCTTTATATTCACCATTTTTATCCTTTAAAAATCTTTCTCATTATAATAACAACTTTGTCTTGGAATATAATTGACATTAACTGATCCATTTTAGCAGAAAAAAATATGGGTGTTTGGAATCTGATGGCTGTGAGTTAAAAGTCTCCTTCCTCCTTAACCAATGTGCGTGACCTCTTTGGTAACATGTAATTTCACTGAGCCTTCTTTCCTTCATCTATTAAATGGTGATAATAATACCTTTCTTAAAGGTGTTATGAGAGTCAAACAGGATTATGTGTATAAGGTTATATCCAACAAATACTTGTTTCCTTTTTCAAAATGAAGCATTTAGCGCCTTGCCAGTTTTAGTTTAAGTGAGTTTAGTCATTGTAAAATGACTGTTAAGGCTAGCTTGTGAAATATTGAAAAATGATTTGAAAACTATATGGCCATGCTCTTTCTTAAAACCTTTTTTTTATTTGAGTGTAGTTGACACACAATGTTACCTTAGTTTTAAATGTACAACACAGTGATTCCACTTCTTCATACTTTATGCTGTGCTCACCATAAGTATAGTATGCAGCCATGTTCTTGTTTCAAATGTGAGCTCTGTGAAGACAAGGGCCATGTCTGTTTTGCTCATCAGTGCCTAAGACAATGAGAGTGATAATAACGATCACTTTAAGCTGTGGAAGGACATTGTTATAGCTTAGTCAAAGGCTGCAGTTCTCTGGTTAAAAGCATGCAGGATTATCTGATGTGCTCATTTCAGGATTTTGTCTATTCAAAGCTATAAGTTCACATTTAAAAAATCCTTATACTTCCCAGAGGTAAAGCTATGAAAAAAGTACCAGATTTTATTTTATTTTTTTCAAGATTTTATTTATTTATTTGAGAGAGAGAATGAGATAGAGAGAGAGAGCATGAGCAGGGGGAGGGTCCGAGGGAGAAGCAGACTCGCTGCTGAGCAGGGAGCCCGATGCGGGACTCGATCCCGGGACTCCAGGATCATGTCCTGAGCCAAAGGCAGTCGCTTAACCAACTGAGCCACCCAGGCACCCCAAAAGTACCAGATTTTAAAACACCTT